GATTTGTTCAATGAAATAGAAAATTTTTTTTACTTGGAATGAAGTTTAATCTGTAATGTATCTTCCATTTTGTTCGATGACCTTTTGCTATCTCTCTGACAACTTGAAAATTCCATGCTCGTAGAAAGTCTGATCCTTTTCGGCCAAAAACTGAGTTAAATGAGATTTTACAGCATCATCATCATTAAAAGTTTTGCCACGAAGGGAGTTGTCCAGGGATCGAAATAAGTGGTAATCCGATGGCGCGAGATCAGGACTATATGGTGGGTGTAACATCAATTCCCAACCAATATCCATCAATTTTTGCCGAGTGAACAAAGACGTGTGCGACCTAGCATTGTCTTGGTGGAAAATGACACCTTTACGATTGATCAATTCTGATCGCTTTACCTTGACCGCTGCATTCAATTTGTCCAGTTGCTAACATTCACGGATAATAAAAAATAACATAATAATAATAATAATAATTTTATAATATAACATTTACGGATATCATAAAAATGGGAGTGAGAGACATTTATAACTGAAATTGGCAATTACTTAGTTGCCAATCCAATAATTTGATTTAATAAAAGATTTTGTCAGATTTTTTAAACCAAGAGTGTTCCGGCAGATAAAACGATGAATATTTTCTGTCACGAACCAGGCTTCCAGCAGGCAAGATTTGGATCAACATTGAAAAAAATGCACTATAACGGTGGGTCTTATAAGAAGAAGAAGCCAAAAAAGAAACCCCTAGAAGGAAAACCATTCGCGAAGGGCGTAGTTATAAAGACAGTCATCAGAAAACCAAAGAAACCGAATTCTGCGAATCGAAAGTGTGTCATAGTTCGGCTCTCCACTGGCAAAGAAATGACTGCTTACGTGCCTGGTATGTATACAAAGTGAAGACACTGAATGTTCAGTTAATATCGTTCATATTCTACGTTATCTTCTTACAGGAATCGGCCACAATCTTCAAGAACACAACGTGGTACTCTGCAGAGTGGGAAAACTACAAGACACACCGGGTGTTCGGATAAAATGCGTTCGTGGAAAATATGATTTGCCTCATGTTATGAAAAAATCGTAAAGATGTGTATAATTCGTTTTATGAAATATATTCTTCCCAGTAATATTTCTCAGTTAGTTTAGTTCAATTGCCAAAGTGAATGATGATTTTGATTAAATTAAATCAAAGTATAACAAAAATGATACGAGTTTCATTACATAGATCCTATACTGATCAAATATACTGATATACTACTATTGTATAAATACTGATCAAAATTTGATCAGAGCATTGAAACAAAATGTTAAGAACAAATGCATGATTTTAATTTCGAGTTCCGACATCAACTTGTACGCTAGATAATTGCTCATCCTTCAGGTACACAGCTAATGATTTATGAATAATATGTTTATATTATTATTTATGTAATTATTTATGCCATTATATTTATGGATAATGTTCATAAAGGCTCAAAGAGAAAGTTACACGCACGAGAAAGTTCTACGTTTTGTTTTGCTTTTGACCGAGAATTGGGAAAAGTTTGCGTGGGCATGGATTCTCGGATCCATCCCTCCGCAAATTGCGGCCTTTTGACACACATTTTGAGATGAGGTGGCCAGTCCCCATCGTGGGTTTACCGTTAGCTGAACCGTGCGTCAGAACGCAAAGGACACATTGTGTCCCGGTAAATCAGGATGTCACGATGCAGAAAGGGTCCTGCGGCACAGCCCCCTGCTTTGGACATTATTACGGAAGGGTTGACCCTGAGGCCTTCCTGCATCTGCACCCTGCATCCACCCACGCGGCCACTGGCTATTGACCATATGACATGCTGACCAACATCCCGATGTTTTGAAAAGGCAGGCTCTCAACCTGGACCTTTTCGCAGCGACCTTCTCCTCCGAGACGACATACGCGTGGGCGTTTCCCACACTGAAGCCGATAGAGCATTATCTTCAAAAAATCTAAAACACTGCCTTTGTACATACCTTATCTCGTGGGCTTCGGTTGTGAATTTTCGATTCGAGCTCTATATCTCTCGATATTTACGAAAAACTGTTAGCGGCGGCCATCTTGTGTCGTCTTGCTCGTGTATTGACACCACTCTGGCCGAATATTGCAAATATCTCCGCAATAACTGCGAAACGGATATTTCTACAACCGAAGTCCAGTCGTTTAGTCTTTTCGGAATCTAAATTTTCCACTTGTGAACTGCACACTTCGATATTAAAGCGTCAGTTTTGGTTGATAGAAACCTCTAAAACTAATATACGTATATGGTTTTCTTCTATGTGTGGGTCGTCATAGTGTGCGGCGACCCGGGCCCTTAAT